GGTCACCCACCCTCAGGTGGACACATTCAAAATTTGTGGTCTGCGGGATGGGACTCCTGGTCAGATGGATGGAATCTCTATAGACCACTGCGACCCCGCCTCCCCGCCCTCCGGATCTCTGGTTGGTGCTGCACGGAGAAGCCTGGGGGACAAAGCTGGGTTAGATTCACGCCTCCAGCTTCATCCAACCAGGTCTCCGTGATGCACGCCAGATCTGCCCGCTCATCCAGGATTAAATCCTGGATAAAGGTCGTTTTACCGTTGACAGATCTGGCGTTCAACAGCACCACCTTCAATCCGGAGGGCCCGCCATCCTGGTTACACCAATTTACCATAGGAGACCGGTTTGGAATTATTAATGTAGATAAGCGATCCGAATTAGGCCGAATTTGTGGTCTCCTTTTCCCGCATCTCCCCCTCCCCACCACGACCTCTATGGGGGCCCCTCGGCTAGTGGAACACCTCCCCTCCTCCATGCCGCAGTCTAAATCCAAGGTCTTAATTTCTGTTTCATTAATGGTTGTTTGGATTGTTGGAGTTTTTTCTTGCCAACTTCCTTCATTCCCTTTCTCCCCCCTCCCCACCTCATTGTTACCCACGGCCTCCAGCTCGCTTCGTCCCTTGCCCTTTCCACAAGTCACTAATATCAAGGACAATACAAATAGGGGAATAGGGAACCACATGGGAGATAGTAGTAGTACACTTCACTAAGACTGATAGTAACAAAGTGCAGTAAGCATCACAGCTGCGACAGTTGGTAGTTCGTAAAGTGCAAGAGTCTTAAAGTGCAAACACAATAGCGTCACAGCTGCGTGCCACTGGGGTGATTCCTAAAGTGCAAGATCTTAAAGTGCAACAAGGTACCCGAATCTGGCTCTAAGTGCTATCTAAAGTGCGGCATGGAGGGATAGGGAGAGGGCGGGTAGTGCCAGTTCAATTTAGCAGCAGAAGAGGCAGGCGCCTTAAAGTGCTATACTGAGTTCTTAGTACCAATTAGCAGCAAATTAGGCAAGGAACGATAAAGTGCTACATTAAGCAATATGTAAACATTGAGCAATATGTAAACACAACGTTAGGGAGTTGACAAGCAATATCAGTTTGTGAAGTTGTTGTGATTCAAGATGTAGTCTATGGACGGCTGATGTAAAATAGCGAATGGAACTCTTAGTCTTTCCGGAGATGGTCCACACGGCGGTTGGTCAGCACAAGTTGGTCTACACACCGCTTAATTGCACAATCGGGCAGCACAAAATCGGTCAACACAGAAAAAGGTCAACACAGAAAAGGTCTACACACGGCTTGCGTTGCGCAATCGGATGGCACAAGGATCGGCCTGCACAGCGGGTAGTCCACGGAGTTGGTCAACACCGTCGATGTTGGGCCTAGCGGCCAAGGCATTTGGAACAGGCCCAGGTGGTGGAGGCCCAGGTGGTAAGGGCCCAGCCGGAGCAGCGCTCATGGCGCAGCAGCCTGCTTGATAGGGCCCAGGTGGTAAAGGCCTAGCTGGAACAGCGCTCGCGGCGTTAGCGGCGACGGCCTCGGCCGCAGCAGAAGGCCCCAACTCGCCCCCCCCAGCACGGAGGGGGTGCGCCTCGGCAGCGGCTCCGTGCGCAGCGCTCACGGCGCAGCGGCCTGCTTGATGGTAAAGGCCCAGCTGGAGCCGCGCTCGCGGCGTTCGCGGCGACGGCCTCGGCCGCAACAGAAGGCCTAACACGCCCCCCCCAGCACGGAGGGGATGGGCCTCGGCAGCGGCCCGCCCGATGAAAGCCCAGATGGCAAAGGCCCAGGCGGCAGGGCCCAGCTAAAGCAGCGCTCTCGGCGAGCGCAGCGGCTCGCCTAGCAAGGCCCAGGTTGTGGAGGCCGAGGAGCAGCAGCGCGCCAGGCCCCCCAGCAACAGCGGCGGTCGTGATGACACCAGACGCGATCCACCTCTCTCCGGTGTTCCAGGCGCGACGAGGGGATGAGAGCCGACCCCCGCGGCCGTAAAACCGCTGGGCAGCCGGACCGCCGAGATGGCAAACACCCGGAGCAGCGGAGGAACGGCGCGTTGGCGGCAAAACGGAGCAGGGCGGAACGCAGCAAACGCCGACCATCACTTCACCTTCCATGTTGCTGCTGCTGCTCCTACCTTCATGTGAGCCCATGGCCATTGATGTCAGAATGGCAGGGTGCAACAGCAACATGGGCATGGTATATCCGCTTTCCCTTCTCTAATGAATGATGATGCCACCAGTGTCACATCTGGACAGCAAAATGGTTGGAACTGGATCTGTCAGAATGTGTAAATTACTCAGCATTTCTTTAAGTGCTAACAGAATCAATGTCTCAGGATTAACTACAGGTGTCACTGTAATTGGGGTGTGGTAGCAGAGTGCTGAGACTGTTGCATATGTATGTAGTAACTTGATAAGATTTGATGAGGCCTGGAGGCCGGTGTGTACTGTAAATACTGTGTTAGTATTTGTACTAGTTGTACTATTACTGCAATTTAAGAAAGAAAAGCCTTTTGGTTGAAACGAACAGCTTTTTGTCCTGAGGAGACCACGTTGCTGCAAGAAGATATTTAGTTTACTTCTTGGAAGGAGAGCAATGACCAATTGTGATAATATAGTGAAGAGTAGAGACATCACACTGGCAACGAAGATCCGCATAGTTAAAGCAATGGTATTCCCTGTAGTAATCTATGGATGTGAGAGTTGGACCATAAGGAAGGCTGAGTGAAGGAAGATAGATGCTTTTGAACTGTGGGGCTGGAGGAAAGTTCTGAGAGTGCCTTGGACTGCGAGAAGATCAAAACAGTCCATACTTCAGGAAATGTAGCCTGACCGCTCATTGGAGGGAAGGATATTAGAGGCAAAGATGAAGTACTTTAGCTACATAATGAGAAGACAGGAAAGCTTAGAGAAGACATGATGCTGGGGAAAATGGAAGGAAAAAGGAAGAGAGGCCGACCAAGGGCAAGATGAATGGATGGTATCCTTGAAGTGACTAGCTTGACTCTGAAGGAGCTGGGGGTGGTGACAGCCGAAAGGGAGCTCTGGTGTGGGCTGGCCCATGAGGTCATGAAGAGTTGGAAACGACTAAATGAATAAACAACAACAAACAGAAATGAAGAGTCCCTTCTGCTATACAACAGGGAATTTCATGCTGATTTGAACCCCTGACAGGATCTAATCCCATTATCCAGACTGCTTTGAAGCCATGGGATATTCCGGAGTTTCCAATAATCTTTGGAATATTCCCTGTCTTTACCTAAAGCAGGACAAAACTGCTTTAACTCTGTAAAATCTGCAATACTTACTGGAAGCCAGAGAATGTCATGAGAATAGCCAGAAGTGACTTTGAGGTGTGTCCTAGTTTTCTCTTCCTTTTTCTGCCTGTATGGACTTGTCTTTTATTGTACTTGGCTTGAGCCTTACTAATACTTCCGCAATCCAACACCTAGTCAGCTTTGGGACTCTTGTGACACACAAGAAATGGGAGCTTAGCAACAGTGCTCCTGGCTGGCCTTGAACTCCAGTTCCCAAGTGGCCTCATGACAAAGTACATTATGAACCAATTTAGAACTTTTGAAGAAAAAATATGTTTGCAAAGGAAGCTTGTGATTAGTGGCCTAGATAGAATGGGAACAGATATGTTGGCAGTGGCAGTGGGTGCGGACATATTTGTTTATTGGCTGCCCCAGGAGTATTGAGAGACTTCTCCATGCTGAAAGAAGTTCTATCCTCGTGTTTCTAGCCAGCTAAAGATGGAAGGTGTCCTTTGAGGACTAGAATTTCACACATTTAAACACTGGCCAGCAGGGGAATGGGACAGAGAAAGAAGAGGCTTCTTCTTTGACTCCCCAAACTGATATGCCTGAATCAGTGCATTTACTGATATGGTGCATAGTACCAGAACAGCTTCATCTGTATGGATTTGGGCAAGTATAGCACATGTGCCTTCACATAACTAGTGGCCTGCATTCCACATAACATGTGGCCCGCTCTCTGTCATTATGTTTGGTTTCTATGTTTTGTGTATATTGTTTATACGCTTTTATGTTTTATACTTTATTGTTATGTTGTTTATTTTATTGCAATTTGTATTTTCGTATTTTAATTTGTTATTCGGGCTTGGCCCCATGTAAGCTGCTCCGAGTCCCCATTGGGGGAGATGGTGGCGGGGTATAAATAAAGATTATTATTATTATTATTATTATTATTATTATTATTATCATTATTATTATTATTATGGCTGCATTCAGACATTTTTGTGTGCCTTATTGTATCTGCATTCAGACATTTTTGTGTGCCTTATTGTATAAATCATAGAGTCATAAAATCATAGAGTTGGAAGATAGCACAAGGGCCATCCTGTCTAACCAACTGCCATGACGGAATGCCCAATAAAAGCACTCCAGACGAATGACCATTGAGGTTCTATGTAAAATATTCCAGAGAAGGAGATTTCACCACATTTTAATGTAGCATATTTCACAGTGGAACAGCTCTTACCCTCAGGAGATCTTTTCTAATTTTTTCCCCTGTAACTTGAATTTATTAATTATTTATTAACGATATTTCTACCCCGCCTTTCTCGAACCTAAAGGTGACTCAAGGTGGCTTACAACCAGGCAGCCATTTGATGCCATTGCTTCATGTCCTAGAGTGGTTCTGCATTGGACACAGTCTCCCAGACCAGACCCAGTATCAAACTTGAGATCGACCCCAGGATGGTTCTTATTGCATGTCTCTGGGCCACTGGGGAGGCAGGAAAAAGTCCTCTGCCTGAAGACACCAAAGTTGGTTCAGTGCTGATGGATGGTTCCCTTACTGCCCCCCTCTTTTTTGTTGTATTAGTAACCACCCGGTGTGAAATGGACAGTCGCTGTCATTCATCACCTGGCGTGATATCAGCCAGAGCACCAGAGCGAAATGAGGGAAGAGAAGAAGGAACCGAAGAATAGCCCACCACTTTCCCTTCCCTTCTCTGATGGTTATCCAGGTGACAAGTGACGCATGCTGACCACTAGTCATTTCACAGCTGGTGGTTACTGCTACTATGAGAACAAAAGTGGTCAGTAAGTGCCATCCTGTGTCCCTAGGTAAAGGTAAAGGTTTTCCCCTGACATTAGGTCTAGTCATGTCCGACTCTGGGGTGTGGTTCTCATCTCAATTTCTAAGCCGAAGAGCTGGCATTGTCCGTAGACACCTCCAAGGTCATGTGGCCGGCATGACTGCATGGAGTGCCATTACCTTCCCGTTGGAGCAGTACCTATTGATCTACTTACATTTGCATGTTTTCGAACTGCTAGGTTGGCAGAAGCTGGGGCTGATAGGAGAAGATCACACCGTTTCCCGGATTCGGACCTGTGACCTTTCGGTCAACAAGCTCAGTAGCTCAGCGCTTTAATCCACTGCACCACCGGGGACTCCCCTGTGTCCCTAGTCTACCTTATACTGCGCATATGGGATGTCCATGTAAACAGTTACAGCCAGTTTCATTTAGGAACCAGCTGAACTGTTTATATGGGCCCGAAGTAACAATTAGCTCTGAATGCTCAGGAAAACTCTGGAACAACTCACAACTATTGTTAACACAGTTCAAGGCCACATTAACATGAATCAGCTGTCACAGAGCTGATTCTCCTCACCTTCAGGATTCAGTGTCCATGTAGGTGTGCCCCTAGTCTCTGGAGGTGCAGAGAACAAGCTTGTTCCCTCCTCCTCCTATTTATTTATATCTTGCTTTAATCTCTGAATTGAGGTGCAAAGTGGCTGACAACATTAAGAAAAACAATGCTATTAAAAAATCACAACATCCACACATCAAAATGGAAGTAAACATACAACTGAAATCTTACTAATTTTTCTCCATGTTTTCACATTTGCTTTTCTTTAGTTGTTTAATTTCAATATGACATTTCAAATATATAAACATGACTATCATGTCATCCTAACCTCATCCAAGCTAAACATACTCATCTCCTTAAGCTTCATCTCATAGGGCTTGCCTTCTGGATTATTTACCATTTTGGGTGTACATCTCTGGGCATGTTCCAGCTTGTCAGTATATTTTAGATGATGGTGTTTATTTATACCCTGCTTTTTCACTTCACAAGGAGACTCAGATTCATAAAGGCGTGGTCTTAAAATCTTTTACTTTTGGCTCAGCTTTTCATGCTGGGGTATGTTTTAACTAACCATCCTGAGTCCCTTTGGGGAGACAGGATGGTATATAAATAAAGTATTATTATTATTATTATTATTATTATTATTATTATTATTATTAACTGAGATTTTTGCAGAGGGAACTCAGAATCTGTGGCACATATATCTGCTGCAGAAAGGAGCCATCACACAACTATTTAGAACAACTTTTATTTATTTATTTGCGGTATTTGCATACCACCCTTCTCAACCCCAAAGGGGACTCCGGGTGGTTCACAGTGTTGGCAACAATTCAATGCCATCGATAAAAAAAGGTTAAAACATCAAAATTGACTCTCCTCTGATAAAGTATTATTAAATAAATCACATAAAATAACATCATATATCACACAAGACTCTTGTTTGTGAAGTTAAGCTCTGAGGCAATCCTATGGAGTAGGTATGATTTTGTAAAGTGAGTGATATGGTTTTGTACAGGTTCTGTCACTAGGGTTTACTGGGGCAATCTTGATGGTCCTGAGATGATTACTACTGTGCTGTTACTGGCTTCATAGCATGGCTTTGTCTACCCCGGATCATCCCCAAGGCTCTTCGCCAGGATCTCTTATCGGAACGCAGCTGCTGTGCTCTCTATACAGGCCTGCTTCTTCTCAATAACAAGGTGTGAATGCTGACTTTGCTGACACAGGTGAATGTAGCAAAGCAGATGGAAGCTTCAAAGTACAGCCAGGGAACATAATCCCTTATCTCACTGGCAGTTTAGAGGGGCTGAAATGTGACCTCTAAGGATGACAAGGTGTGAATGGAAGGAAAGACAAGCCATGGGACAGGTACTAAAGATAGGTTGTGCACAAAAAGTGGTTTCAGACATTAATTTAAATTGTGTGTATGTGTATATAAATGGGATCAGCTATCATGTCACTGAATATATAGGATCAGACATGAATTTGCTTGATATATTTCATTAGGATTGCATGTTAATGATGGTACTACGAAACTAGGACATGTGTAGTGCTTCATAGCTTTTAGCTGAAGCGCCTTAGTTTTTGTTCTCTGGTCAAATCCATAATATCGTGATGCATAATGCAGAGGCTTTTGCTTGTCCCATTCTGTCTTGAAATTGCATCTGTCTTCCAATAACAAAAACATTGTAAGGTGATAGTTTTCATTATGCCAGCTTCAGCTGGTAAATATACACAAGGTTTTCAGATATGTAGTGTTCATTACTGGGCTTCTAGCCATTTAAGTTTTTACAGCTGTGCTCCATTCATTATTGGGCCTCTATGGTTGACTGTTCTTACCCTGACTGTTAAAATGTACTGTTGCTATCATCTATTGTACTTTTATCCATTTTGCAAAAAACAGAACAAAACATAATACAAAAACACACAAAACATTTTCAATATTTATTTATTTTATTATTTATTTAGAAGTTTTATATACCGATCTTCTCACCTCCAAGGAGGGACTCAGGCTGGTTCACAACATGTGTTCATATACAGTAATATACAAAACAGCACAATGCATCATCATTATACATTAAAATATAAGTACAATAAAAACATCATCATATATTTTAAGTCCAAAAATAACAATAAAACAAATGGCTAAATTAAGGGTCTGCCACACATCCCTATATCCCAGAATATCAAAGCAGCAAATCCCACATTATCTGAGTGTGGACTCGGATAACCCAGTTCAAATCAGATACTGTGGCATTTTCTGCCTTTATAAACTGGGATATAGAGTTGTGTGGAAGGGCCCATAATCTCCACTAGTTTCAGTGGGCTTGCTTTAGTTAGGACTGCTACTGAATTAGCTAAAATCTTGCAATTTATGGTTCCTGAAAGAGCAACCTATTTATTATGTTTCTCTTTAAATAAAATAATATGTATTAATATTATTGGAACCAGCATGATGCCCTGGTTTGAGCACTGGACTGGGACTGTGGAGACTAGGCTTTGAATCCCCTCTTGACCATGGAAATCCATCCCCCTTCTACACTGCCATATAAAATCCTGATTATCTGCTTTGAACTGGATTATATGGCAGTGTAGACTTGGGCACCTTCTACACTGCCATATAAAATCCTGATTATCTGCTTTGAACTGGATTATATGGCAGTGTAAACTTTGGCACGTTCTACTTCTACACTGCCATATAAAATCCTGATTATCTGCTTTGAACTGGATTATATGGCAATGTAGACCTTGAGGGAGCTGGGGGTGGTAACGGCCGACAGGGAGCTCTGGCGTGGGCTGGTCCATGAGGTCACGAAGAGTCGGAGACGACTGAACGAATGAACAACAACAGACTTCGGCACCTTCTACACTGCCATATAAAATCCTGATTTTCTGCTTTGAATTGGATTATATGGCAGTGTTAACTTAGGCTCCTTCTACACTGCCATATAATCCAGATTACCAAATCGGATAATCCACATTATCCGTGTTGAACTGGATTATATGAGTCTACACTGCCATTAATAGATAGTGAGTAATATTAATAAAACAATTTAACTACACTTCCATTCTTGTAATATCACCTTTGTTCATCAACTCAATATATCCCCCAATTTCATCCCTTTTAATTTAAATAGATTTTTCTATACTGCATTTCAAAAATTTGTTTCTATACAGTATCTTTTATAATGGTTTTTTTATTGTAATGGTATCCATCTAATCCATCGAAATAAAGTTACTTTATATACATTTATGGAGCTATACAGTATCTTTAATGTATTTTCTCTTCAGTTTCAATATTCTTTCACCAATCAACTTCAAGGTTTCAACTTCATTTTTATCTTAGCTTTGTGGTCATTGAGAAGTGTCATGCAATAAAGCATTTTGAAACTCCCCAACAGTCAAAAAGAGCAATGATCTCCAAAATTCAAAAAAGGAGGGGTTTGTCATTAGCTAAAAACCTTGCTCACAAATTTTCTCAGAGTTCAGAAATAAAAAAGACTTGCCTTTAAATTGTGGAGGTTCCCAATCTTTACTCTTCTTTTAAGTTGATTTATAGCATATCAGATCTGTAGGTTGGTTTATTTAAACCTAGTATAAAATCAGAAAGAACAGAACCAAAACCCTTAATTACATTGCTATCTTGCTGTTGTTGTGTGCTATCATGCATGACAACCGTAAGGCAAACCTGTCATGGGGTTTTCTTAGCAGAATGTGTTGATAGGGGCTTCACTCTTGTTTTCCTTTGAGATTGAGAGAGTATGTCTTGCCCCAAATCACCCATTGGGTCTGCATGGCTGAGTAGGGTTTGAATGCTGACTTTTGGAGTCATCGTTCAATACTTAAGCCACTATGCCATTCTCAGTCACATTGATAATAGCATTTATTTATATATATTTTCCTTCTTTTCATTTCCTTTTAATACAGTTTCTCTTAAGTAATCCTTACCTAGTTCAGCTATGACAACAGAGACGATCCTTCCCCCAAACATTACCAATGCACCCCAGGCTGGCCAGGAGGCACCTGGTAGTATTTTCATCCAACCACCAGGGACAGTACAATATATATCATTTGAAGGTTATCAACTTGGAAACCCTGGCAACCCAGTTCAGCAGCAAGGCAACCCATCTCAGCAGCAACGCAACCCACTAGAGAAACTTCTCAAAGTGGAGACTAAGACTCTGGGGGTGAGTGTGTTTGAGATCTGTGTGTATCCCTGCCTTTGGCTCAAAGCATTCTGTAAAGGATCATTAAGATCATTCTTTGATCTCATGTGGTGGTGTTCCAAAAAATAGTTGTTTTAGTCTGTTTTAAAACTGCATAAAGGAATTGAGTAGAACTTTTGGGACTAAATTATTCATGGACTCCAGCCACTCCATCTGATTTCATGTAGTTGCTACCACATCCTTTTCTTGTTCCCATTGTTATATTTTAACAGCTTACATATTTAAATATCATTGGTTCTGCTTGATTGATTATGCCATCCAACCAAATGATGTACTGATGAGTGACAAAGGGTGTCTACACTGTAGAATTCATGCAATTTGACACCACTTTAACTCCCATGGCTCAGTGCTATGGAACCATGAGAGCTGTACTTTTATAGGGTCTTTAGTCTTCTGTGCCAAAGAGTGCTGCTGCCTAACAACCCCACAACTCCCATAATTCCACAGCATTGAGACAAAGCAGTTAAAGTGATATCAAACTGGATATATCGCATAGTGTAGATGTATCCATACTCATGAGGACAGTGATATTAAAAGGGAAATGTCTGCTGAAACATTTAGTAGTTTCAAATAGCCTAGTTATTAGAACAGTGGCAATGGAGTCAGATAGCAGCCAAAAATGCCCTCTCAAGGAAAACAAAACCAAAAATAAACAAAACTACAAATGAATGGAAGGCTGCACCTGGTTTGGAAAAATCCTTTTAAAAAATTAAAAGTAGGAAGCTAGATTCTTCTCCCCAGAAGAAGCATTACTCTGTGGAGGAGAGGAGGGCATTCCTACAATTTTTGCAGGTGCTTTGTTTCTGGAAGGTCTGTTCTATTCCAACTGGAACAAGTGGAATTTATTTCACAGGTGGGCATTGTGTCAAGATAGCTGGCAGCACTCAAATCTCACCAGGAAATCCCTTTTCTGTATTGGATGTAGCAATCAAAGAAGCAGAAAGAAATAATGTAGATATCGAGGGGTATAACCTCTTTCACAGAAACCGAACAAAGGGGAGAGGAGGCGGAGTAGCCTTATATGTCAAAAACTCTTATGCTGCAGAAGAGATTCAAGACAGCAATCTGGGAAACCAGCTTGAAATCATCTGGATAAGAATCAAGGGAACTGGGACTCAAAAAGATGTCGTTGTAGGCGTCTACTACAGACCCCCAAGCCAGGAGGAAGAACTTGATGAAGTCTTCTGCCAACAGTTGACCAAACAGGCACAGAAAAGAGATGTAGTAGTCATGGGCGATTTCAACTATCCCGATATTTGCTGGAAAACAAACTCGGCCAAGAGTACAAGGTCCAACAAATTCCTCGCTTGCCTTGCAGACAATTTCATGGTCCAGAAGGTAGAAGAGGCAACAAGGGGATTGGCTACTCTTGATCTCATCCTAACAAATGCGGAGGACCTGATCGATGCGGTCGAAGTGGTAGGATCCTTAGGGGCAAGTGACCATGTGCTCCTGCAATTTGAGGTACAAAGGAAGGCCGAAACTAAGACAAGTCAAACCCGCATTTTGGACTTTAGGAGAGCTGATTTCCGAAAAATGAAGGAAACACTGAGCAGCATTCCGTGGACACAGATACTAAAAGACAAGGGAGTTACGGATGGATGGGAATTTCTCAAGAGTGAAATACTCAAGGCGCAATTGCAAACCGTGCCAACAAAGAGAAAAAATAGGACAAGTGCAAAGAAGCCAGAATGGATGTCCAAAGAACGTCTAACTGTGCTAAGACACAAAAGAGACATGCACAAGAAGTGGAAAAAGGGAGAAATCACCAAAGAAGAATTCAAACAAATAGCCAACACCTGTAGGGAAAAGGTCCGCAAGGCTAAAGCAAAAACGAGCTCAGACTTGCCAGGGACATTAAAAACAATAAAAAGGGCTTCTTTTCGTATGTCAGTAGAAAAAGGAAAAACAAGGAGGCGATAGGACCTCTTCGAGGAGAAGATGGGGCAATGCTGACAGGGGATAGGGAAAAGGCAGAACTACTTAATGCCTTCTTTGCCTCGGTCTTCTCACAAAAAGAGAGTCTTCAACCTCAGCAAGATGGAGTGGATGAGGGATTGGAGGACATCCAACCCAAATTGGGAAAGAAGTCGTCCAGGAATACCTGGCCGCTCTTAATGAGTTCAAGTCCCCAGGGCCAGATCAACTACACCCCAGAGTATTGAAGGAACTAGCGGAAGTCATTTCGGAACCATTGGCAACCATCTTTGAGAGTTCTTGGAGAACGGGAGAAGTTCCAGCAGATTGGAGGAGGGCCAATGTGGTCCCAATCTTCAAGAAGGGAAAAAAGGATGACCCAAACAACTACTGTCCGGTCAGCCTCACGTCGATACCAGGCAAGATTCTGGAAAAGATTGTTAAGGAAGTGGTCTGCAAACACTTAGAAACAAATGCAGTCATCGCTAATAGTCAACATGGATTTATCAAAAACAAGTCATGCCAGAGTAATCTGATCTCTTTCTTCGATAGAGCTACAAGCTGGGTAGATGCGGGGAATGCCGTGGATGTAGCGTACCTGGATTTCAGTAAGGCCTTCGACAAGGTCCCCCATGACCTTCTGGCAAGGAAACTAGTCCAATGTGGGCTAGGCAAAACTACGGTGAGGTGGATCTGTAATTGGTTAAATGGACGAACCCAGAGGGTGCTCACCAATGCTTCCTCTTCATCCTGGAAAGAAGTGACAAGCGGAGTGCCGCAGGGTTCCGTCCTGGGCCCGGTCCTGTTCAACATCTTTATTAATGACTTAGATGAAGGGTTAGAAGGCATGATCATCAAGTTTGCAGACAACACCAAATTGGGAGGGATAGCCAATAGTCCAGAGGACAGGAGCAGGATTCAAAACAATCTTGACAGATTATAGAGATGGGCCAAAACTAACAAAATGAAGTTCAACAGTGACAAATGCAAGATACTCCACTTTGGCAGAAAAAATGAAATGCAAAGATACAGAATGGGTGACGCCTGGCTCGAGAGTAGTACGTGTGAAAAAGATCTTGGAGTCCTCGTGGACAACAAGTTAAACATGAGCCAACAATGTGATGTGGCGGCAAAAAAAAGCCAATGGGATTTTGGCCTGCATCAATAGGAGCATAGTGTCTAGATCTAGGTAAGTAATGCTACCCCTCTATTCTGCTTAGACCACACCTGGAATATTGTGTCCAATTCTGGGCACCACAATTCAAGAGAGATATTGACAAGCTGGAATGTGTCCAGAGGAGGGCGACTAAAATGATCAAGGGTCTGGAGAACAATCCCTATGAGGAGCGGCTTAGGGAACTGGGCATGTTTAGCCTGAAGAAGAGAAGGCTGAGAGGAGATATGATAGCCATGTATAAATATGTGAGAGGAAGCCACAGGGAGGAGGGAGCAAGCTTGTTTTCTGCTTCCTTGGAGACTAGGACGCGGAACAATGGCTTCAAACTACAAGAGAGGAGATTCCATCTGAACATGAGGAAGAACTTCCTGACTGTGAGAGCCGTTCAGCAGTGGAACTCTCTGCCCCGGAGTGTGGTGGAGGCTCCTTCTTTGGAAGCTTTTAAGCAGAGGCTGGATGGCCATCTGTCGGGGTGATTTGAATGCAATATTCCTGCTTCTTGGCAGGGGGTTGGACTGGATGGCCCATGAGGTCTCTTCCAACTCTTTGATTCTATGATTCTATGATTCTAATGCTATTTGGGATTGCTGTCTGAAGCAAAGACCTTTCATTCCCAGGAGTAGCCAAATGCTCTCCCACAAACAGAACTGTTCACAGACTAATCTGCATTTTTAGCCGAGAGAAATTCCCATGGACTTTAAGCACGTGTGTAGAGGAATTCAATTGTTGGTCAAGATTCAAGATCAGAATCAACATCTTTGGGTCCAGCCAGGAAATCTGTTCTTTTGTTGATAGGAGTAGAATATACTAAGATTTCCAACCCACTCCTTCCAGGGATCTTTGGTGCAACAGTCAATACAAGATTCCTGTTATGATTCCTCTTCACACTGATTAGAAACCATGTGATTCCCTCTTCTTTTCCCTTCCTATAGACCATCTCTGGGAAAGGAGTGAGGAACTGAAGGGAGAAGAAGGGGGAAAGGTTGAATGTTGTGGCCTCCCATACTGAATCTGATCATCAGACCATGGATTCTCATCCCTTGGCAAAGACGAATGGGCTGAATTAGCTTTCCAGGTTTTCAGTGATATTTCCAGACTGGTCAGAAAATCTCACTTCAGAACTCAAGGGGTTGTTTGGCTTCCTCTGTTTTCTTTACACAGGCCATACAAATCATGATTGGACTGATGCACATTGGCCTGGGATGTATCGCAATATCAATATTAATGTCAGGATTCCATTATATTCCTTTCGGTGCAACATCAGGCTATCCATTCTGGGGTGGACTATTTGTAAGTAATTTGTTATATAAAGAACATTTGTGTTTATTCTTATGGTTGGGAATTTAGATCTTGAAAGGGAACATCTATGGTCAAGTTCCTTTTCTTCACACTCCAGCTTTCACAACTATACAGAGAAATTGGAAATTCAATCCCATGGACTATCTTGACTTTAGGATTCAATAATATATCTTTATATTTTAGAATCTTGTCCATTCCTTTCATAACTGTCCTTCCAAGTTGTAGTCCTCTTCTGATTTCTTGATTGCAGTCTCCATTGGTGACTGAGCCAAAGTATGAGAAATTTCAAACTATTTCAGAATCTTGCCCTTAAAGGGAGAAATGCCAGGGTCATAGTATCCAGTTTTTCAGAGTTCGATTTCTCTCTCTCTGATTTTCAATGTAAACTACATGCAAATGATTTTTTCTTCTTTTTTGCATAGTTTATTAGTTCAGGATCCCTTGCTGTGAGCTCCGAGAAATACCTCAATGGTTCTTTGGTAAGATATCTTACATATTCTCTTCTTCCGACATGCTATTTTAGGCTTCATTTGCTATACAGTGCATTGTTTGTATGACTGGTGCACAGAAAAATACAACCAACTTGGAACAGGGGGCAGTTGTAATTACATTCAGTCCCCTACCCTGATTCCAAGCATTCACCAGCACATAGCAGGCTTTGCCTTAAATCAAACACTTCAAATAAATCAGAAGAAATTGGGGCAGCTTTGAGGATGGCAACTATATAGTGGTGGCTGGTGTCAGGGAAGTGGCAAAACTCCAAGTTTTAGTCTGAACTCTAAAAGTGCTATCCAAAGTGCTGAAGCCTATCCATCAAATACTGCATTTCTTCCCTATTTTAATATTTCTAAATTTGGGCTGCATCTTAGAATTTCAGGTAAATCTTATGTATTTTTGTTGTTGGGGTTGGCACTGAAATTAGGGTGCATCTTACAATTGATGGCATCTTAGAATTGAAAAAAATATATGACAGGTTTCGAACCACTGATAGCTCCTTTAAAGTTCAGACTAAATTGAATAGGTTCACCCTCTGCAACATCAATATGTGCCATTGCAATTCTTTTTTCATCCTATAGGTAAGTGTTTAGTGGCTACTCATTTGGCCTTTTGGGGGATCGAGGATGTCCTGCAGTACACTGTCTATATCATGTCAGAAACCATACTTTGTATAGGAAGTTCCCAGAATGTAGCTTCCTATACCAATTATACCTTTCCTTGAAAGAAATGCCTAACAAAGTGCAGATGTTGGCCAAGGGACCTAGCTATGACCTTTGTGATGTGGGCAGGAGTTATATTGCAAAGAATTCTGTGTTGTGAATGTTGTGAATATGAGGTTAGAATGTGATTTCCACTGGATCCACAGCAGGGTATTCAAGAAGGATGGACACCCAGCAATGAGTGTGCAAATCAAGTTAAGATTTATGTGATGAGCTCAGTGTCTCTTCATGCTTGAAAAGAGGCTGAAGGGTCCTACGACTGGGAAAGGATGGACAATGCACAATGGGTGTGCAAATGAAGTTAAGATTTGTGTGATGAGCTCAGTGTCTCTCCATGCTTGAAAAGAGGCTGAAGGATCCTATGACTGGAAAAGGATAGACACCCAGCAGTGGGTGCGCAAATCAAGTTAAGATTCATAGACATGAAATCGGTCCTGAGTGCTTGGAATGTGGTCAGGCTTTGTACCCACATAAGGATTTCCTTCTTAGGAGATTTTCACACATGTCTATAAGCCACATAGGACATGTCTGTAAGCCCTAGACATAAATAAAAACACTTGCTACTGCACAATGTCATCCTAAACCCATGTCGAGCTAAACTTCAAGTCATGTTAAACTTTTATTCAAGGAAAACATCTTGCCTTTATCTTTGATCATCTTTTGACTTCTGAACTTATTTTCACAGAGGTTTGGGAAGCAGCTTCTACAACGTGATAAGGGAAATCTGCTTTAGTCATGAGCTTGGGGAGCTGTGATGTCCAAAGTGGGCTGCTTTCTTGCCTGCAAAACAAAAACTTAATCCTTTCTCTCCCTGATCACGTCAATTGTTTTCTTTTAAAAATGAAATTAAGGAACTATGGTGGTTTGTGGCTGCAGTGTCTTTAATATGAATTCCCTCTATTAATTGAATATTTCCTTTTCTTGCAACAACATTTTGCAAAGCTTCCCACTCATGCATACTTTTGCCTCACTACAAAAGGTAAAAAAAGTTCAAAGCACACTTTCTGCTTGCCCAATAAACATAAAATAAACAGTAATTAAATTGGAAAGAGATTTTAATAAATATGTTAAGTTGTGTATAACTGGTGCTTTAGTATTATGAAAATATAGAAGTTTAGGAATGTGCAGCTTCAAACATTTGAACTCTTGAAGTTACACAGTTCTTATATCTTCTCTCAAAGCACATTCAAAAATGCTTTGAGTGGCAGGAAGAAGGGCTATAGTAGGCATGATCCTGTCTCAGGCAAAATGGGTCTATTATGGCATAAGCTATTTTAGTCGATGCATATCATAACGTCCTTAGTGTTTTGCTGACTGCAAAGATGATCTGAACATGTAAATGGAATCTGCCAGGTTGTGTCTCCAAGGTAATGGATGGGGGAGTTACAACGTCTATTGGTCACACACACATAAATAAGTCAGAGTAGAAAAATACTCTACACAGTTTGGTTTCATTGTTATTAACACTGAAAGTAATTCTTCCTTATGGTGCTTAGATTTGGTTTTGACATTTCAGTGGTTCCATTGTGTACGTTTATTCTTATTTGCCCTTAATTTATTTTAATCAGTAGCCTAGCAGTTTCTTCTTACACTATTTCATTTTATGGGACAATCCACATGTAAGTATCTGTAAATTAGGGACCTGGGGAGAATTTACTCCACCCAAACTTTGCCTCCTGGAATTGAACACTGATGTGGAAATCATTTGCAGCAGGGAATCTGTGTATTTCCAGGTTTGTGGTGTGTTCCATGGTGAAGTAAAGAGAAGACTTTTCTCTGAAGTATTTGTGGTTAAGAAGATCCATGCCCATTTCGCATTTCTTGCTGCTCTGACTGTTAAACTATCTTTTTTCAGGTGAGATGCAGTGTAGGAATGAACATCATGAGTGCTGTAATAGCATTAACTGGAATCATGCTTTATATAGCAGAACTCGTTGTAACTACTACATATTCTTATTATTACAATCCTTACGATTCTCATCCTTCTTATTATTATTATTATTTCTCACGGGTAAGTAGAAAAATTCCTTGCAAACTTTTTACTTTGTGTGACAAGATCTAAATGTATGTATTTATCACCCCACCTATTAATCTATTTTATAGGCTGGACCTGTTACTGTTGAAGTCCTATTCCTCTTGTTCAGTTTGCTGGAGTTCTGCATCAATGTATCAACAGCACATTTTGGATGCCAGGCAGCCTGTTCCACTAGTGAACCAGTAAGCAATTCCTCTTTTATCAGAGGTTTAGCACATCATGTTGAAAAATCACATGAGAAATTGGCCTGAGAGAATTTTCATTTATACACAAGGGAAAATGAGTTAAAATGACTTCTGCATGCTACCATAAGTGTTTTGCAATTCTCTTGGATGACAAGTTTAATTGGTCCTTGAAAAAGTTACTTTTGGGGGGTTATAGCTCCATTCTCTCTGTGCTAACACTAGAATTAGCCACACTGATTGCAACATTCTGAGAGCTGGAGTCTGTAATGTAAGTTTTCCAATATCTGAGTTTGATCCAGTCAGTAAAATCCACTCCTAATGAAACATACACATTTTATCTATTTATTTTATTTTTATTTATTTACTGTATTTATACCCCGCTCTTCTCATCCCAAAGGGGACCCAGAGTGGCTTACAGATTTTGGCAAAATTCAATGCCTCATTATACATACAAATAATAAATATAACATATAAAATTATGAAACAGTTAAAACATATAAATGCAATAAAACAAATTAAAACATAGTTTCCCAATCACTCCTCCCCCTATGAAATGACATAGAGATTTGAGTATTGTTGGAATGGGAGGCTACGGAAATACAGAGTGGTTCCACACAGACACTATAATCAGGTTTGGAAGTGGATTGAAACAAACTGGTCTCACTTTGCAGCACCTACACAAGCACCTCAGGAAACAGTGGCCACACTATCTGTAGATTGCAGATAAGAACTCGAACTAGCAGGCATGTAGCGGGGGAGGGGGGGGCTTGAGGGGCCTTACTGGTACATTATTTAAACTGTTATGTTTATTCATATCATGATCTGATCACCATGCTCAATATATCCCATATGCATGGGGCTATTGGGATAACAATACAAAAGGTTTACTAAGGTAGACCCTCTTTCACTCAGACTCAGCCCCCCCCCCCCCCGAATCAAACTCAGCTCCCCCCAAATCAAAATCCTGGCTACGGGCCTGCGACCTAGGAACCGCAGTGTCCACAGCTAGATAGCTGCAGCAAAATGATTTTTTTCTTAGCCACTCTGCTGAGAATAGCTGATGTGCTGCAGATTATCAGAGGATATCCTAGTTTGGAGCCATGCATGGGATATACTCTGATTGGCTGCAGTACATGATTTGACTTGTTCTGGATTTTAAGGTGAATTTTTTTAATATGCTGTTTCTGGCCTGATGACTATTGCAGTGTGCATTGAGGAAGCCCTTGAGCTGGCTTTGAACTGCATTATAGTGTCTGTGTGAAACTGGCCACAATCAGATCCCCACATTTGTTGAGGTTATGTTTTAAAAAATCAGGGAGAACACCTCTCTAGAAATCTCTAGATCATCAAACTGACCAGCTTCCACTGAAGGACCTTGACATTTCTTGAGGTAATATTTTAATCAAATCTGTGAATAATCACATTTGCAAGGCAAACCCACAAATGTGAAAGGGCGCCTGTAAAAGCTACATCTAACATCTAGTTGAAGGCCCTGAAAGTTCTAGGACTGCCAGACTCATAAGGCTTTCATGTGCAACAGTTCCCTGTTGACAAGACACTTCCCCCTATCAAGAAACAGCTATTCACTATAAATATTATTTGCAGCATGCTTTACAGGGTCATGACAGCCTTTACATCAGGCATGTCAAATTCATTTTCACTGAGGGCCACATCGACCTTATGGTTGCCTTCAAAGGGCCCTTGAATATGTGGATGGAAAATCCATGGAGACAGAGGGCCAACTATAAATTTTTTACATAGTAGTTGGTGCTCTATAGTTTTTACCCAATTTGGATCCACAGATGTTATTGAAAGACAACTCCCATCACTTATGATTATCTGCTAGGCGGATTGAGGATAGTGGGAATTGCCACCCAACAGAACCTGTGGCTCTGAGTTTGGTGAAAGGTTAAAGGACATTTTAGAGTCAGACATCATATCCACAAGCCTTGTATCTAAAGCCACTCTTCTGACTAAGCAGAAATGAAGCCTTCTTGATGTTAAAGTATCACAACACCCATCAGCCCATGATGTCTAAAGATCAGGCCTCCAGGAGTTGTAGTCCAGCATTTGGAGGAGGGCCACATAAAATGACATGATGGGCTGGATTTGGCCTGTGGGACTAGTGTTTGACACATGTGTCTTACGTTGTCATGATGAGCTCTTTCTTCTAAAACTGGCTAGACCAGACACAAAGCCTGCCTGGTTTGTTTAGATCTCATTGTAGACTTATATCTGTGGAAAATTGAACTGAGTATTTCTGTAACATTCATCATATCCAGTAAGGGGCTGCTCTTACGTTACTATGTAGGGGAGCTGGCAAAAGTGATGAATGCACCAATTACAGAGTGTCCATATGCATCAGTAGAGCTGAATTCACATCAGGATACACTTGCTAGTGTCCCATTATGTATTTTTCACAATTCATGAACAGGGTTTCTTGGTGCTTCTGATATGTAGCTATTAAGGAGACATAACATTGCATACCACAGAAATCTCATTCAGGCTATTGTGTCCTCCACTCTTGCTGTGAAGAAACTCCCATAAAAAGACCTCTTGCATACCTTTAGGAGCAATGACTTTGTTGAAACCCATCCCAACCTCTTCCCATGAGTCACAAAGCCCCAGAAGGCACAGGTGGAAGTTGTGGTTTTTAGCCAATTTTCAACCCCCAAAAGGTGCAGCCTTCAGTGGATATCATGCTCCATGCGGGGACATGCGAGAAGCCTCTCACAGGATGGTAAAATATCTGGGTGTCCCCTGGGCAATGTCCTTGCAGACGGTCAATTCTCTCACACCAGAAGTGACTTGCAGTTTCTCAAGTTGCTTCTGACACAAAAAAAATCACTAATGAAATAACACCTATCTTAACACTGTTCGCTTAAGTGATTTACTAAGTTGATGTTTAAAGCTGTAAATGGTGTTTACATTTATTTCTCCCTCTCTATTTTAGGTTACAGTTTTGGTGCCTTATGCTGCCAACTTTCCAAGAGTGGCTCCTTCTGAAAGCAATCCGATGCCTCCAAACTATCATGACATAGCTCATCCTCCCAAGATAGAGACACAGTGATGAAGACCTCAAGAGATATTGTAGATTGTTATCTACACTATAGACATAATGCAGTATGTCACCAATTTATCTGCCATGGCTCAATGCTATGGAATCCTGGGAGATACAGTTTGGTGAGACACCAGCACGCTTTGGCAGAAATGGCTGAAGATCTTAATAAAATTATAACTCCCATGATTCCATAGCATCAAGTCATGGCAGTTAAAGTGGTATCAAACTGCATTAATTCTACAATATGGATGCATCCTTTAGGGTGGAATGGAGTGCGAGGGTCATCTAGTATGTGAGTTACACAAGAATTTTTGCTGAATAGAAACTAGGATGTCCAAAAATAGAATGCAACCTTGAGAATTAGTCTAGACAGAAGATGAACTGCTGCTTAACTAGATAATGCTTTGAATGCTTATGCACATGCTTACGAAGCTAATGAATATTCACTTTTATGCCTAAATGGGGTTTAGTAGCCATTTTCTGTATATGGGTCTTATGTGCGTGGGGGGACACAAAAGGGGGAACATACAAAGGTGTATCGGAAGAATGGGACTTCAGGATACCTTACCAATGAGGAAATGAGAGAGAGATCTTGTGGCCGAGAATCTATATAAATAAAAATGTAATGTTCGTTTGTGGGATTACCATAACTCAAAAACCACTGGATGAATTGACACCAAATTTGGACTCAAGACACCTATAAGGCCAACAAGTGGTGACCATCACTCAAAAAAACCCAAACAAACCTGATTTTGTCATTTGGGAGTTGTAGTTGCTGGGATTTATAGTTAACCTACAATCAAAGAGCATTCTGAACTCCACCAATGATGGTATAGAACCAAACGTGGCACACAGGACTCCCATGACCAACAGAAAATACTGGAAGGGTTTGGTGGGCATTGACCTTGAGTTTGGGAGTTGTAGTTCACCTACATCCAGAGAGCACTGTAGAATCAAGCAATGATGGATGTGGACCAAACTTGGCACAAATATTCCATATGCCCAAATATGATCACAGTTGGAATTTGTGGGAAATAGATCTTGACATTAGGGAGTTGTATTTACTGGGATTTACAGTTCACCTACAATCAAAGAGCATTCTGAACCCCACCAACGACAGAATTGGGGCAAACTTCCCACACAGAACCCCCATGACCAACAGAAAATACTTAAGGCCAACTCCCTTCTCCAGGGCAAGAAAACATAATCAAAGCCCTCCTGACAAAGAGCCATCCGGTCATAGATATAGATAGATAGATAGATAGATAGATAGATAGATAGATAGATAGATAGATAGATATGATTCACACACGCGCACACACGTATATGACAGATATATATTATCATAGATTTGAAAGGGACCCCTAAAGAAGGACAATTATATGTTGCATGTTCCAGAGTAAGCAAACCAGACAATCTCTACATCAACACTGACAAAGAACAAGAAATACTCTTTACCTACAAGCATAAAGATATTACATATATTAGAAACCAACACTTTCTCATTACTTTATTTTCCAGATCACGAGACTGGGCCACAGCAATGCATGGCAGGGGACAGCTAGTAGGGAATAAATATCTTTGATGTAGAATTATATGATGTGCCTTTATATTGGGCACCCAGTTTAGCTGACTTACAAAGTAAAGTGTTGCTCCAATGACTTTGTTTTCTGGTGGTTATTTAGCATATTGGATGCTTATTTCCCCCTGCATCGTGGGAAGGGCTCCGTCATACGTTATCTCTCTGTGTTCAAAGTGTTTAGAAAGGGGCACGAGCAGCATGCCATAATGTTCTAGATATCACACCATGCCTTTGATTTGAGGCAGAGGTTGCCTTGGCTTATTTTCTGAAGCCTTGGGTAATTTCACTTGTTTCAGGGACATGGATGCTCTGGCCTGTGAGCTAGATAATCTGCAGGTTATTCCCAATTGATGTTCTAACTGACTGTGGCTAGTGGTAGCCTTTCCTGCTAATTTCATCATTATCATCGGCAATCACTTGTGTCCGAGTATGATTGCCTTCCAAGTGTAGGGTCTTGGTGGTGGGTCCATAGGTGACTATAGAGAACTACTCTTAATCCGCATGTTCTTTCACAGTGAAGACATTAATTTCCAGCTGGAAGGTGGCCCCAGTGAGTGTTGGCTTGACACACCTTCCTCTTTACATGTTTCTCCCTTTCGCCCTCCATTCATACCTCTTTGAATTCCACAGCATTGTTGGTAACAGTTGACTTCCAGCTAGAGCACTCAAGGGCCAGGGCTTTCCAGTTCTTGGTGTCTATGTCAAGGTTTTTAAGGCCAGTTTTAAGCTCATCTTTAAATATCTTTTCCTGTCCACCAACATTCCATTTTCCATTCTTAAGTTGAGAGTAAAGGAACTGCTTTGGGAGATGGTGATCAACTTCACGTGGTCAAGTGAAGTTGCTTCAGTGCTGGTAGTCTTTGATTCTTACAGCATGCTGACATTTGTCTGCCTGTCTTCCCAAGAGCTTTGCAGGATTTTTCTGGAGTCAGCGCTGATGGAATCATTCCAGAAGTTGAGTGTGGCATCTGTAGATGGTCCAAGTTTCGCAGGTGTATAACAGGGTTGGGAGGACAATGGCTTTATAAACAAACACCTTGGTATTCCTACGAATGCCCCGAAGCTCAAACACTGTCTGCTTCATTTGGAAAAATGCTGCACTTGAAGAGCTCAGACGGTGTTGTATTTCAGTGTCCATGTTGACTTTTGTGGACAGGTGGCTGCCAAGGTAGTGGAAATTGACAGCCTTTTCTAATGTTACACAATTAAGCTGTATTTCTGGCATTGCAGAAGGATTGACTAGTGCCTGCTAAAAGAGCACTTTGCTTTTCTCGATGTCCAGTGAGAGGCCAAGCTTTTCATATGCTTCTGAAAAGGTAGTTTTCTTCTGAATGAGCACAGACTATATTATCATCAGCATATTGGTGTTCTTTAACAGATGTTGTTGGGACCTTGGCTTTCAGTCTGCTTGAGGTTAAATAGTTTAATCTACAGAGCAAAATCAGCTGCATAGTGGTCATGATATGAAACTGAAGGTTAATGGTCCAGTCACACTTTCTCTTTTCTCATGGAGTCTTCTTCATAGAAGGAACTATTGTGAGAACACTTTTGGTAAAATAGCTCCTATAGCCATTCATGGTTATAATGGAAGATTTCAGTTGTCATTCCCCATTTTAGTCTGTCTTCTCCTCATTTCTGCTTTTATGTCTAGGATGCCTTATGACACATTTCTCATGGACTCTGATACCCTGAACAGATTCATCCTGACATTTATCATGCATCAACTGGTTTTGCTGCTAGGAGAGAAAAGAAATCTTGACTGGTAATCTTTCCTCAGGAACAAACATTTTCATCATGACAGCATAGCCACTAGTTGGGAAAAAGCATCATTCTTCCCATGACCATCCAAAAGATGCAAATTACTGATACTCTACTATGCTGGCTCTATAAGAGTCTCCCTACAAATGGAGGCTTATCTATGACCAACAGAAAGTATTAGAGGGGTTTGGGGTGATTGACCCAGCATGATAAGAATTGCAGTACCCACACACCCAGAAAGCCCTTTGACACCAACAATGGATCTGGACCAAACTTGGCACACATACCCATCATGACCAATTTTAAATGCTGACACAGTTTGTGGGATGGTGACAAGATGATGGAAGACATAGTTCATTCAAAACCAAAGAGCACTATTAACCCTACTGGAAATAGATCTGGACTAAACATGACACATATACCCATCATGACCAACTTTAAATACTTCTGGGGCTTGGGGGACAATGACAGAAGATGACAGGAGTTGCAGTTCACTGACATCTAAAACGGTGGTGGGCGTGTGCAGTGGTGGCATGTGGTCCACAGGAATGGCTGTTGTGCAGGCCTGTTCTAACCCCACACACAGCAGTAGGTTGAGGAAGATTGTTCTATTCGTATAAATTGATATTGGCACTTGCATTTCTATCAATCTGTGAGGAGATGTGGGTAATAAAATTTAATATTATTGTTATTATCATTATTATTATTAACTTTCACACATACTAGCCAAGATACTGAAACTTATTAGCATCTTTTACAGGTGCTAGCCAACATGCTAATAAGTTTCAGTACCTTGCCTAGCACCTGTAAAAAGATTTAGGGACTTGTATAATGTCTTTAAAGCTATATGTGAAATCAGGAGTGCATTCCCCACCCCACTGACATTTAAGCCTCTAGCGGCTAGTACACTCTTGAAAATAATCTCTGATATAGATCTTAGTATGAAGGCACAATTCTACAGGCAAATGTGATCTGCTTCCTGGCTTTTAAGCTCCCTTATTATTAAGTCTAAAAAAAGATACTGGTGAACCTGTTCAACTAATTCAAGGCTTGAGAGATACATTTTTTTTTTTACATTTTCTGTCCTCTACCACAATCCAGTAAGCTGCATTTTAGTTACAGCTTATAGTTTATCTAGCTGTAACTATATATATGCTCTGTTTGTTTTGAGTGGCATCATAACTCAAAAACCGCTGGACTAATTTCCACCAAATTTAGCCACAAGACATCTACTAACCCAAGGAGTGACCATAACTCAAAAAATTGATTTTGTCATTTGGGAGTTGTAGTTGCTGGGATTTATAGTTAGATCAGCCAGGGTTCCAACTCACAGATTTTTTCCTTGCCAGTATCATGCTTCCAATTTATTCTCCTTTATCTATCACAGCAATAAACCAAGAAATATGCTCAGACTAATTCAACCAGAGAAGTCAGCCATAGCAGAGCACCTGATGAACAAAGCTGGACACAGCATATTATTTGAGAACATAGAAATGCTGGACCACTCCAACAACCACCATGTCAGACTACACAGAGAAGTCATTGAAATCAACAAGCATGTGGACAATTTCAATAGAAAGGAAGAAACCTTGAAAATGAACAAAATCTGGCTACCAGTATAAAAAAAACTAAAACTTGAACAGTAAATAAGGGACAACACTAAAAAAAATGGGAATTCCAGACAGGAAACAATCAAGGCCAGCTAACACCTCCCAACAAAGGATTCCCCCAGGCAGAAAGCAGCCAGTCTTTGAAGTTGCTAGGCTATTCAATGCTAATCAAGCTGGCCAACTGCAATATTCACACTTGCCTCAATCAGACAAAACTTCTTTCTCTCACCCTGGACCTTCCACAGAGATATAAACCTCACTTGCCTAGTTTCCAACAGACCTCACAACCTCTGAGGATGCCTGCCATAAATGTCGGAAAACATCAGGAGAGAATGCTTCTGGAACATGGACATACAGACCGGAAAACTCACAGCAACCCAACATGCTCAATATTTCTACAGCCTCCCTGGGATAATTTACCAGAGAACAGAGAGAGCAAACACTAGGAATCATTAACATTTGATGACAGTAAAGCCTATGTTGGAATATTTGGTATCTATATCAAGCAGAATGTAAAGTACTCAATGCAAAAGATAATAGTACAAAAATACTCAGAATGCTGTTATGATGTTTCAAAAAAATTAAAGTCACATTTACTATTTTAGGAAGTCCATCTGTGCTAAAAGAGACAGACAAATATTACCTGTATTTCAGCAGACAAGTTATTAAACCTGGCTATCAAATGTGAGTGTAAGTCATCTTGAGGCAGGAAGAAGGGAGAACGAACCTCTGCAGATAGGGAAAAATTTAAAAAAGGCTTGCATACACAGATGAAAGAAAGCGACAGAGAGGTAAAACAAAAAGAGCAACCATGTTCAGTATAACTCACGCCATAGAAATGTTGATGTCTCTTTGTTTCTAGCAACCTAGACCTCCAGATAAATTCTCCCAAGAGCTTTATAGAGTTGTTGATATCCCGTAGTAAACCAAAGATTCTGGGATTGAGCACTGATCACCCAGTACTATCTTCTGAAACCTACTAGGTGGACACGATGAAAAAGGACATTTTTGGTCAATGATAGTGAATGCTTCTTGGACATCTTGCAAATTCAAGAGTGTTGTACTTCCATCAGCCCACCCCCAACATCAGTAATCCATCCACCAGCGTGACCAAAGCTGTTTCTTTCTAGAGCCCTAACTAGAACCCAGACTGGATTAGTTTTAGAGTAGTGAGCCATTTTGGTCAGTCCAAGTATCAATGTCCTCCTTTAAGATACACACACACACACACACACACACACGCATGGTCTGTCAAAAATATTACCTCCCAATTAAAAATCAAAGATCTGGAAGTGGGTTGAAAATAATGACATTTTTAAATATTGAAAATTCAAGGAGGCCATACAAGCTCTCAAACACACAAATTTCTGCTTTAGGAGGCATCCAGAAGTAGCAGTGTGTTCAGTTTGGGAGCTGAAAAGTGCACCTTAGAGATGTCTCGGTTGATGGAGCTGCAAGCCATTTTTGAAGGCTGAATGAAGTCCATGACCATATTTTGCCTATCTTGCATTCTAGACCACTGTTTCTCAACCTTCCTAATGCCGTGATCCCTTAATACAGTTCCTCTTGTTATGGCGACTCCCAACCATAAAATTATTTTTGTTGCTACTTCATAACTGTAATTTTGCTACTGTTATGAATTGTATTGTAAATATCTGATATGCAGGATGTATTTTAATTCACTGGACCAAATTTGGCACAAATACCTGATATGCCCAAATTTGAATGCTTTGAAGGGTGGGGTTGGGTTGGGGGATTGATTTTGTCATTTGGGAGTTGCAGTTCCTGGGATTTATAGTTAACCTCCGAGCAATGAGCATTCTGAACTCAACCAATGATGGAATTGAACCAAACTTGGCACACAGAACTCCCATGATCAACAGAAAATACTAGAAGGGTTTGGTGGGCATTGACCTTGAGTTTTGGAGTTGTAGTTCACCTATATCCAGAGAGCACTGTGGATTCAAACAATGATAGATCTGGACCAAACTTGGTACGAATCCTCAATATGCCCAAATGTGAACACTGGTAGAGTTTGGGAAAAATAAACCTTGACATTTGGGAGTTATAGTTGCTGGGATTTATAGTTCACCTACAATCAAAGAACCCCACCAATGATAGAATTGGGCCTAACTTCCCACTCCCTCAGAGCAGGCATGTAGCCGGGGGGGGGGGGCTTGAGGGGCTTCAGCCCCCCCCCCCGAAATTCTCATGGTGGTTCGCGAAAAGGCCTTACTGGTGCATTATTTAAACTGTTATGTTTATTCATATCATGATCTGATCACCATACTCAATATATCCCATATGCATGGGGGTATTGGGGTAATGATACAAAAGGTTTGCTAGGCTAGACCCCTTTCACTCAGACTCAGCCCCCCCCCCAAAACTCAGCCCCCCGAAACCCCCCCTGAAAAAAATTCAGCCCCCCCCCCCCGAAATGAAATCCTGGCTACAGGTCTGCTTTGAAGGGACTCACTGGCGTTAGACTCCCTCACCCGCTCATATGCACCACACTGCCATGTGCCGAGCATGCCTGCTCTCCCCTCCTTGCTTGGAGTCTCAGAAACAGCCCTCCCCTTGGCTGAGAAGCCAGCCAATCACAGCGGAGGAGGGCTTTTTGTAAGAGAATTCACTGTTTCCTAAAAGGAATAGAAGGACAGGCAGAGAGATCTTCAGCTTTCTCTGCCAAAAGGGTTCCTAAGACTATCAGAAATATATGTTTTTGATGGTCTTTGGTGACCCCTCTGACACCCCCTTGTGACTCCCCCAGGGGTTCCGACCCCAGGGTTGAGAAACACTGTTCTAGCCAATCAGTTTCTTCCACTTGAAGCTCAGAGCCCATCCCCTTCTATGACATCTTACCCGAAAAGAAAAAGTTAGAGACCATACAATTGTAGTCAGGGAGCATACTTCCCCCTTATTGCGCTAACTCCACTGGCTGCCAGTTTGCTACTGGGCCCAATTCAAAGTGCTGGCTTTGGCCTATAAAGCCCTAAATGGCTCTGGCCCAACTTACCTGTCCGAACGTATCTCCCCTTACGAACAACTGAGGACTTTAAGATCATCTGGGGAGGCCCTGCTCTCGGTCCCGCCTTTGTCACAAGCACGTTTGGCGGGGACGAGAGACAGGGCCTTCTCAGTGGTGGCCCCTCGGCTATGGAATGCCCTCCCTAGGGAAATTAGATCTGCTCCCTCCCTCTTGACATTTCGGAGGCAAGTTAAAACGTGGCTATTCGAGCAAGCGTTTAGAAATACAGAGTAGCTAATATAGGAAATCGAATGACCTGACAATGTAATTGGACAATGCTTGAGCATAATTGAGACGCTAATGATGTTGCTTTTATTGCTTTTGTGATGTCTTATAATGTTTAATGTTTTTTATCTATTATGTTTTATGTATACTGATTTGTTGGAAACTGGCTTGAGTCGCCAATTGGCTGAGAAAGGCAGTATACAAATAAAGTAAGTAAATAAATAAATAAATAGTCCAAATTCTGTGATTTTTAACCCGATAGCTTTAGTGATGATCAGAACTCTTTCTTCAAGGAAAACAGGAAGCATGCCCTATCTCAAGAGATACTTGTTACTTCTGAAACTCAGGTTTTAAAAGCCAGCAACACAGCCAGAAGTCTGTGGCAGCAATCCAACAAGTATCCAGGCAGAGTCCAAATTTCTGTCTGTATTCTTACATTGTCATGGAAGGCATACATGTGGCTATTCTTTCTTCTTCACTTCCTTTCTAGAAGTATAGCAATAGTTTGGGGCTCACAGGTACAGTTCCAAAGCACAGACTTGTAAAAGATTAGGTCTATGTTTGTCACCCAGATGAATCTAACCCAAAGCCAGGCTGTGATGCACTCACACATCAATTCTAATTTCAGGCTTCAGTTCCATAACTGAAATTAAAGAGCTTGCAGACAAGAACTTTGACATCTATATATGGTTACATCTAAAGTTAGAACCAAAAGATTTGAATTA